AAATTGAAATAATCCTTTTATGAGTGAAATATGGTGGCTACCATAGCTGCCCCCCCCCCCCCCCTCCAGCTTCAAAAATGTGTCATCTCTAGCTTCAGTCCCAGAAGATGCAAACTATAAATTTGCAAAAAGTAATGTGTCCCCCACTTCTGCTAAAATAGCTACATCTGATCAATCCTTTAAAAATAAATTACTGCAAGAAACTTTTGTTTGAAACTAGATGAAGGGGTCTGATAAATGAAGTGATGTTCTACTTCTTACAGGTTGCCAAGAATATAAAAAGCGCATTGTGTCTGTGCCCCCATTAGGGAGTTTCACCCTCTCTATTTGTTCTGTTTACCATTATCATTGAAAGTCAAAGTAAAGAAAACCCCCAAAATTTGGGTTATCCCCAGAAAAGTAAGAGGGAAAATCTTCCAATGGGGACACTAATTCAGGTGACCTGGGAGTCCCCTAGAAATTCCTTTAATTTGCAGGGATTTCCTCTCACTTCATGTTTTGGCTATGAGAACGTGAAGGTAAATTTCTGCAATGGGACACAGATGGCAAACAAATAAGGGTCATTACCTGACCTCTGATCTTTATTTTATTACTCAATCAAAAAAAAAAAAAAAAAAAAAAAAAAAAGAATAAAAGAAAGTTTTGCTTATATTTCTACTTTTAAACAAGCTCCGATTATAACAGCTTTTTTTTTCCAGGGTTCCAACTGATCTCTGGCAAGCCTGGGAAAACAGGAATTCTTGGAGCCCATTCACACTAAAATGCGGTGCAGGAAACCCATGTTCCTTGCAGGTTTCTTGCACTGCGCTCATAAACCCCTTGCGATCTGCAGTGGGTGTCAATACAATGCTAAGGATATCTAAAACGCACAAAATAGAACTGGATATTAATATATATGGAGGTAATAACGGGAAGCTGGTTCAGGGAACATCCGATTGTCTTACGAGGGATCAAGGACATTTTTTCCCCCCATCTGGGGAGAATTGGATCATGGTTTATGGGGGGGGGGGGGGGGGGGGGGGGGTTTGGCTTCCTCTGGATCAGCTCTGGCTATAGGATTGTGTATATGGAGGTTTATGTGTGTTTTTTTTCTTTTTAGGCTCCATGTACAGGAGCGTACCGACTGCCGGGAAAACAAATCATGGCAAGATCGCGGTGCCGCGTTTTGTCGCAGTCGGTGGTCAAAACATTCCTATACTGAACGTGATTCTTCCGGAGAGGAAGGTTTAACCTCACCCAAACAAGGCAGCTCCTAAACTCTGCAAAAAGCCTATATGTACACGAACACATAGGCTTTTATGGAGTTGAGTTTAGGAGCTTTGGCAAAAAAATGCCAAAAGCTCCTAGCCTCGAGTTTAGGAGCTGCTTGTGTACATGAAGCCTTATACTGGTTAACTAGATGGACTAGTGTCTTTTTTCAACCTTACTATGTAACTATGACACCCCAAACGCAGGTAGCAAACACAGTCTGTTTTGCCTGCACCGATCACGATACAGAGGTACCATGCAATCCAGTTGCAGGGCATTTTCAAGTAGTGCAAGCACTACTTTTGGTGCAGCGCTATTTCAGGCCACATACTTACACTGCAAAGGAACACAAGTGCATTCCTGTTCTATTCCTGATGTGAACCAGCCCTTGGCAGCATATAGGCAAAGCACTAAATGGTGATGGCGAGTTGTAGACCATGGCTTTACTGTCCTTAATTAGCCTCTGCTGGTCTATATCCCTGGTGTCTACAAAAGGGACCTGGGTACTATCAATAGTCATCAGCAAATGTAGTATGCTGATGAATAGAATAAGGTTTCTCAATACACCATCATACCTCATTAGGAAAGTTCCAGATCACCTTCTTCCTCGAACAAATACCTACTAAAAGTACTGTATATCTAAAGCCATTTTAGATACAGCATAGAAGGGTAAGGAAGAGTTTTTGCCATCTGTGTCTCATTAGGAAGATTTCCCTTCACTTCCTGTTCTTGAGACCCGACAGGTAAGGGGAGTGGATATATGTAATGTGAGGAATACCCACTTCTCCTCTTAGACAGTTGTCATAAGAACAAGATTTTCCTTCTATTGTTATTTTCTGATGGCAAATAAAAAAAAAAAAAAAAACCAGAATTTAGCCTCATTCCAAGTTTTTGCTCAAGTGTACACTAAACAGGCCAACATTTTTTATTTCACTTCATGTCACAGAAGACATCATGAAGAGGATAGCAAGGCAGCACAGCAAGCTCCAGTCTTTTTTTTTTTTTTTTTAAATTAAAAGGCAACAGTTACAAAAACACTTCCCGTACCAGGATCCAGCAATATGCTTACCCGATAACCAGAAGGTATTTACCAGGGACCATGTTGGTCCTCCGTGCCAACATCTTATCTGTGGGCACCCGGCTGTGACAGCATGCAGGTTCACAGCTGGGTGCCCACTGTGCATTTTGAATGGTCCCGCAGTCTTCTGGCACCTGTCACGTGTCCCAGAAGACTGCAGGGAGGAAAGGGGGTGGGTGGTGGGAAAGAAATCAGGGACCCACTCTCTCCCCTCCTCGTTCCCCAAAAGTGCAAATCCCTCACCAGGAGCGGGGGAGTGGTATTTAATCACCACTTGGGTTTTATTTTTTGCACTATAAACAAACAAAAAGAGCAAAAAAATTTAGCAAAAAAGTTTTTCTTTGTTTCTATTACAAAATTTTGCAAACAGGTCATTTCTCTCCTTCACTGATGTGCATTGATGAGGTGGCATTGATGAGACGGCACTAATAGACACTGCCCTGATAACCAGTCTTCTTTCACAGGTTGCCTGTTATCGGCAGTATTTTCCTCACGCTGTGACAGCGTGAAGAAAGTACTGCTGATAACCAGCAAGTGTATTTACAAGGTGATCAACTGTGATTGGACAAAACTTATCACGTGGTAAATAAAAAAAGGTCACTGTTAAACAGGCTGCTGTGATTGGCTCTTTACCATGTTGTGATCAGCTGTGTCCAGAGGACACAGCGATCATGGAGAGCCCGGTGTGTACCTTTGGGGGTGCACTCTGGGAGGGTGTCATACGACGCCCTCCCAGCACTGGATGACCACACTGTAGCTGTCTCCCAGCTATAGCATGATCAAGAAGTGGTTAAAGGACATCTGTAGATAGACAATGCTTTAATTAGAATTGAAAAATGCTCTTAGGTGTAGGCTCTGCTTTCATGTTCCTCCTGAAGCTATGACTGCAGACCTTCTAGCATGTTGCTAAGAGAAACCTAGCAGTTACTGATCACCCTGACAGTAGAAAACTCTGATTCAAACCCTTTCACATGCTTTCCCCCCCCCTGATGCAGTAGCTCTGAGCTCAGAGTTTGAAAGCTCATGTGAAGGTGCATGTGAGCAGTAACAGCTAGAAGTCTCTTAGCAATGTCCTAGGAGTTTTCCAGTCAGGCTTCATGAGGTACCTAAATAGCCTACACCTACAGCAAGGGCATTATTCAACTTTGGTTAAAACTGCGCAGACACTCCTTTTCTGCAAAGACAGGTTTATTTTTATATTACCCCCCTAAGGACATATTTATTTGCTTAACTTTTTTTGAAACCCTAAATGGTCTGTTTATATCCTGACAAAAACCATTAAAAAAAAAAGGTCACTGTGTAAACAAACCTATGTGATCACTGTGCCGTAATCATCAGGAAGATTACACAGTTGTTAACTAGACTCGCCAGTTAATCCCTCAAGATCAGAGTCCAACGAATAAGAAAGCGCACAAGCAACATTCCGAGTTCTCCCACAACATGCATCATTCCCAAAATCAGAAAACAGATTGCAGACACCATCTGATTAAAGAATTATGTGATATTTTACTGGTGCGCAGGAGCAAGCTCTGCTTTGGCAGCCAGGTGTCATCACAGAAGAGCTCTTAAAAGCAGAGTTCATAGCATTAACTAAAAGCACCCAATTTGTAATGAAATCTCCTATCACTGTTCATCACTCAGCTCAAACAAAACACTTATTCCCACATCAGAGAATCTAATAAACAATTCACTTGATAAAGTAGTTCACATAGTCTGCTGGAATACAATGAGGTCCCCACTCTGTCTTTCTGAAACCAAATTGCAGAGGGCAGACAGAACCTTAATTACACACTTCAAAAAAACTTACGTGTGTGGTCTACAAGCTTTTCTGTTTACATTACCATCTACAACACAGGGAAGGGTTTGTGCCAATCACTTTTTTTCAGTAAGAAGATTCACTCTAATTGTCCAAAATGCGTCCCTTGAAGGAAACATTTTAAATTGTATGTAATTCCTTTGTGCTCCGGAGTGGGTAACAATACAGTGAGTTTTACATGCAGTGGAGAAAAAAAAATGAATATGAGAAGCCACAAATAGCATACCTGTACCCATACTATGGCCACCTATGAAGGAGTGCAAATTAGTGTCACATGCCTCTCACCTGTCCTTTCAGGACCCTAGGGTACTGAAAATTCAGGCTGAAGACCTCTGGACATTAAGTAGACAAATTTCCTCAAGATAATGTTTTCAAGAAATTAAATCCTGGAGTAATCCTATTTTTTTCTTCCTTGGAGGTTGGTAGATTCCCTAGCTTCCTTTGCAATCACTGATTAAAGTGACACTATCATGAGAAAAAAGTATGGGGGATGCCAATGCATGTCTCTTGAAAATGCTAAATGCCTGGCTGCGTCATACTTCAGTGTGTAAGGATCACAGTTCCAGAATAAGCATGCTGTAAATGAGTGTCAGAAAAGTGTCCAAACTACTTAAAGCTATACTTGTTCCAGGTCAGTGACTCTGACAAAACTAAAGTCAAAGCATCACAATGACAGCCAGGGAACTAACATTCTCAGAAGGTGAGATCATAATGTCAGCCTCCATTAATTTCGCACAACAGCGTCCCGGAGGCAGCAATGCTATATTCCGCTGTTGTCGCACAGGCTCCTAAAGAGATTCCCTATACACACATTCTACTATAATACACATAAAAAGTTTCAAAAATGGTGTTAAACTTTTAAATACCTTTGTATGTTGTAACTGGCACATATGTGACCAGTGTGTATAGTTTGTTGGGGGAGTCTTCATCCTCATTACGCTTCCTGGACAAACGCACACGAATACGGTATGGAACATTTCTGTGTAAAAATACATAGGCATTTATATGTTGCTAATACAGAATTTTCTATAGGTCTTCTAAAAGTTATGTTTTAATACCATTAAAATTTTTAATTAGAATCTTAATGTTGAGAAGCAAATTTGCATTTCTAAAGCAAATAATATGAATTAAGGTGGAACTCCAAGAACTGCAGCAATAAAAAAAAAAATTAAAAAATTATAGCAATAGCTATATTCCTGGCACTCAGTAAACATGTTATTCGTTGATGCTCCACGTGGTGGTAAAAACCTTGTTGGACATAACTACTTATCATGCTAGCCATGCACTAGTTGAAAAATAAAATGCTCAAAAAAAATTACCCATTTGCCCTCCAGCGGATTTACCCTCCTCCCTGACCAGGCCATTTTTGCGATACAGCGCTGTTAAATTAACTGACAATTGCGCAGTCATTCAACGCTGTACCCAAATGAAATTTCTGTCCTTTTCCCCCCACAAAGAGAGCTTTCTTTTGGTTGTATTTGATAGTCTGTGTTTTTTAATTTTTTTTACACTAAAAAAACAAAAAACTGAAAATATTGAAAAAAAAAAAAAAAAACTATATTTTTGAGTTTTTGCTATTAAACATGTCCAGTAAAAAAAGAATCAAATTTAAGAGCATAGAGGAGATTCCAGGAGACAGGCAGTTACTCTAGGAGAAATGGAAAGGGCTGTAGAAGGTCCTTAACCCATCAGCAGGACCAGTATCTGCTTTATGCAAGGAACAATGAGCACTGCCAGAGCCCTACAAAATGACCTCCAGCAGGTCACTGGTGTGAATGTCTCTGACCAATCAGAAACAGACTTCATGAGGGTGGCCTGAGGGCCCAACATCCTTTAGGGGGCCCTGTGCTCATTGCCTGGCACCATAGAGCTTGATTGGCATTTGAACACCAAAATTTGTAGCTCCGCTACTGGCGCCCTGTCCTCTGTATGTTGATAATTTTCATTTCCATCACAAGATGGGGCATCCTTATGTTCCTAACACATTACCCAGTCCATATCAGTATAGATATCCAACATGAGATTGAGATCTGATGTGTTTTCAAAGCGTTCCTTTAATTTTTTTGAGCAGTGTAGTTTGAGCAGGCTTTTGAAAAACGAACACGGTCACAACAGCAAAAGATATTGCCATCATGTATGAATTGATTTTCGAACAATAAATGATTTAATGGACATAAATGAATCAGTATTTTATCCATTTTGTCACATAAGCATAATTTTGAGCGGTTTGTTTTTTTAAACAGGTGAGAAAACATTAATCTTTCAATTTATCGTCTGTTTGGCAGAAGTTTTACAAACTTTTCGTTAGATTTTTTTTGGCTCAAACAAATCACAACGAAATTTTATTTTTGTGGCCACTAACTGGAGGAAAAAATTAGCAATCTGTACAAATGATGGATTTTTCAAACACTTTTTTTTTGTCTACTGTGTGAGCACCATAAGCTTGCAGATTTTTTTTAAAGTGCTGCAATTCCTGAAGTTCCACTTTAATTTGAGAGACTTGTATCGCTGATTTGTCATATCCTTCCCTTTGAGAGATGCTCACCTAATTCCTTTGGCCCACACAGCTTTGTTCAGCCTGGTATCAATACGCACATCAGGAGTACGCATCTCTTTCATTGCAAATTTGCGGATTTCCTTTAGAGCACGGGGAGCACGTTTCTTGAAGCCACTGAAGAGATGAGGAGGAAACACCACATGGATTTACCATACACTACGTACATGTACTAACTAAAATGCTTTGCACGTTGCACATATATGTATCAATATAGACTGCTATGACAGGTTAAACCACTAATACCACAAAACAATGAAATCCTGTAAAATCAGCACAAATTCAGACTTCTTTAACGGTCTATTAAAAGTGACTGAAGAGGAAGAACATATGAAGTATAGAGATTTCAGCTATGACAGAAAATGACAAAGTAACAGAGAGGGTTGCTATGTAAACCACAAAGAACAGCCCATTCTAAAACTTACATTCCATGGATCCGCTTGTGAATATTGATGGTGTATTCCCTAGTAACTACCTCATTGATGGCAGAGCGGCCCTTTTTCTTTTCACCTCCCTTTTTTGCTGGCGCCATCTCTGTGGACACAAGAATCACACATTAGGAAGAAGCTCAGCATACACACTTTTGAGCACTAGTACAGCCTGGGCTTATTGTCACTGAGGGATGGGCAACAGGCACTTAAACTGTGAGACACAGCCAAAGTGAAGTGTTTAAAATGATTTCCAGAAACACTCTGCTGTCATTATACAAAACATGATGGATAACCTGTGTGTTGTAACTTTTAAAGCAAAACTAAACGTTACCCTTATCGGTCCCCATCCCTCGCTGACATCTTCTCGTCTTCATTGGCCAACGCAGGAGGCTGTCATCCCGGCACACAGGGACTGTGCTCCCTGAGTGCTGCTAATGTAAGCTCAGTTTACATTCCGGAGAAGACAGTAGCAGGCAAGTAAGTGTGTTTTATTGCAGAAGAGAACACTTTTTTTTGTAATAAAAAGCCTGCCTTCTTGCTGTTTGTGACAGTGTCCATAGTAGGGAAAGTAGTGTGCTCACTACAAAGGAACAGAATCCTGTCTGTACATACCTTTCCCCAAAACCTCAGTCTGCCAATAAAGCACCAAAGGACCTGCTAATTCCTGGAATTAATACACTCTTGTCCTTCTACTCTCACAGCTCAGGGTTTGGTGATAAATGGCCAATCACATACCTGAATGTTATCACATAATGGAAGGGGGAGCTTGCTTAGCCTCAGGTAGATTCTAACTGCCAGAATATATGCAGTGCATTCAAAGTGTTTTGGCAAGAGATTGCAGCTGCAGAAAGAGTAAGGGGGGTGGTGGTGGCGTTAAAGCGTATGCAAGCCTTTGGGGAAAAAACAATTCCTCTGACAAGGTAATATCTCAATGTGCTAAGATGAAGACCTCCAGCAATGCACTGTCACTGCTGACAGGGCTTCCATCTTCACCTGATTTTCCTTTTGGGTTCGTGGACGCTGGCAGTTTGAATGGTGGAGCTACGATAACATCACTCTTGTGCATGTGAATAGGAGTCACAGCTGTGGCATAGAGCTCTGAAGGGATGGCATGAGTATGATGTCCCTTCACAGAGCATGCGCTGGGGATGTCACCTGCTGCAGAAACACTGAATATCTCCTAAGAGGTGCATGTTTAGGAGATATTGCTTGTACCTACAAGTAAGCTTTATTATAAGTGTCCAAGACATGTTTACTACCGCTTTAAGATGCCTACTACAGCACCTAGTATGAGCAATGTACTGGTTTCATGTACTGAGAATTTGATTTCCTATGCAGAAAGAGCGGTTTATTTCTTACTAACCCAAAAGGAACAATTAAGTACTGTAATCACCTCATTATTAACCCAAAAACAAACATACAAGCCAGTGATGGCAGCACTGCATTCTAAGGCCAGTTCTGCACAGGTACATTCCTCCTCAACCGCCCTATAGCAGAATTACTGCTACAGGGCGGCACAGGTATGCAAAAACACACACATTGTGGCATTGATATTGAAAATATGACTGATCATGCCAAAAAATGTTCTTTTATTGAAGGATGATGATCATATGAAGCCATTTATTATCAAATAGTTATTTGGCTCCTTTTTAAATCATAATGATAACAGAAAATCACTGGAGCTTTATAAAGATGGAAAAGGACATAAAAAGATGTCCAAAGCCTAGAATATGCCAATCAAAATACAGTATATGAATAATCCTGTGAGCTTCTATACACCCTATTTGTAAGCTGCTTGCACCAAATACACTTCCATATATCAGTGTGTACACTAATAAATAATAATTATGTGCGGCACTTTACTTCTATTGACAACTTTCAAAATGATATACAAATATATATATATATATATATATATATATATATAAAATCATATACACTGTATTCGGTGTATATTATTTTAGATATATATAAATTTTGAAAGTTAATAGAAGTGAAGCGCAGCACGTAATTGTTACGTACATACAGCACCTGCATACACAAACCAGCACGATTGTCTATGGAGTACTGTACACAGCACCAGGGGCCCCAGGGCATCACTATATTCAATGTAAATACAATGTAAGAAAGAATGCACCTGTGTGTATATCAGCCTCCATACACGCCTCTCATGGGAGATCTCGCCTGTGTCCCCCCCATACACGCCTCTCATGGGAGATCTCGCCTGTGTCCCCCCCATACACGCCTCTCATGGGAGATCTCGCCTGTGTCCCCCCCCCATACACGCCTCTCATGGGCGATCTCGCCTGTTTCCCCCCCCATACACGCCTCTCATGGAAGATCTCGCCTGTGTCCCCCCCATACACGCCTCTCAGGTGGATCTCGCCTGTGTCCTCATTCAAAGCTCTCTTATGAGATTCTCTGTGCCCCCCCCCATACACGCCTCTCATGGCGATCTCGCCTGTCCCCCCCCCCATTACACGCCTCTCATGGGCGATCTCTCGCCTGTGTCCCCCCCCCTACTACGCCTCTCATGGGAGATCTCACCCCCCCCCCCGCCCTTGGTGTCTGTCCCCCCCCACGCCTGTCCATAGCGATCACTGTGTCCCCCATACACACGCCTCTCTCATGGGCGATCTCGCCTGTGTCCCCCCCCATAACTAACGCCTCTCATGGGAGATCTCGCCTGTGTCCCCCCCCATACACGCCTCTCATGGGAGATCTCGCCTGTGTCCCCCCTGAGTGTCCCCCCGTTCCTACACGCCTCTCATGGGAGATCTCGCCTGTGTCCCTCCCCATACACGCACATCCCATTGATGGACAACTAAGTGACTTAAAACACGCCTTCATGGGAGATCTCGCCTGTGTCCCCCCGACATACACGCCTCTCATGGGAGATCTCGCCTGTGTCCCCCCCCAATCACACGCCTCTCATGGGGAGATCTCGCCTGTGTCCCCCCCATACACGCCTCTCATGGGAGATCTCGCCTGTGTCCCCCCCCCCAACAACCCAGACTCGCCATGTTCCACGCCTCTCATGGGAGATCTCGCCTGTGTCCCCCCCATGCCTCCCCCCCATCACACTGTCCGCCCCTACCCCCCCTGCATACACTCCTCTGGGAGATCTCGCCTTGTGTACACGCCTCCATGGCGCATCCCCCCCCCCCACACAACGCCTCTCATGGGAGATCTCGCCTGTGTCCCCCCCCATCACAACGCCTTCAAACATGGGAGATCTCGCCCATGTGTGTCCCCCCCATACACGCCTCATCATGGGAGATCTCGCCTGTGTCCCCCCCACAATCGGGTGTGGGAGTTATCTCGCCCCCCCCCCCCATACACGCCTCTCACGATCTCGCCTGTGTCCCCCCCATACACGCCTCTCATGGGAGATCTCGCCTGTGTGTCCCCCCCCACGCCATCACATGGGACATCTCGCCTCTCAAAACCCCCAACAAAGATCTCGACCACTGTCCCCGCACCTACCCACACACGGCCTCTCATGGGAGATCTCGCCTGTGTCCCCCCCCCCCCTCCCCCCCGCCACAACACGCTCTCCTCATATGGGAGATCTCGCCTGTGTCCCCCCCCACCACTCACGGGAGATCTCGCCTGAGTCCCCCCATACACCCTCTCATGGGAATAAGATCACACCCCGCACACGCCTCTCACAAAGGGAGATCTCGCCTGTGTCCCCCCCCCACACACGCCTCTCACGGGAGATCTCGCCTGTGTCCCCCCCCCACACACGCCTCTCACGGGAGATCTCGCCTGTGTCCCCCCCCACACACGCCTCGTCACAGGGAGATCTCGCACCTCTCATGGGAGAATCTGTGTGTCCCCCATACAAAACCACTCATCTGATACGACCCATGTGTCCCCATACACCACCCCTGACAACTAGTCCTGGGGAAGATGTGATGGCCATCCATAGACTGTTCACCTACTGGAAGTCCAGGGTTGTAGGGAGGTCTCCTGGCTGACATACACTGTGTATGACAAGCTCGTTCAGTGACCAGACCCCAGCCCTATGTACTAATACTGATGCAGCACAAGGGCCTGACCGCACTGCACATAGAAGAGCTTTATACGGATCTATCGTGTGTGCGGTGACCAGGAGGTGTATATAGGAATAGCACTCCATGATAGCAGCCGCCCGCACCCTCCACCCCAATACAGGCCCCGGCTAGAAGACCGGACACTGCGCCTCCTCTCCCGGGGATGGCGGGGCACTGCGGGTTACAAGACGGGAGGATGGCGGCAGATAATATCACAGAACAGCCCAGGCCCATACTTACTCTCCTAGGGACAATGACGGAAAGGAAGTAGAAGGGGATTGTGGGAGAAAAGTCTATTCGTACGCCATGGTAGTGCTTCCGGGTCCTACGGCGTCATGACGCCATGTGTGGGGCGGAGCCTGTTATTAGAAGGGGAAGGTGGAGGTGTGTGTACTTCTATCGTGTAAAATAAGCCCGGCCTGGTAACAACAATGTCACCTCAGGTAGACCTGGGAGGGCAGCAGCCGCTAATACAGTGTTGGTATTAGTCATTTATACAGATAGAGCGCTTTGGTGGGGTCTGGAGACTGCCAGTCAGACGACCAGGAAACTGCGAGCCGAACATCCGTCCACTAGATGGCACTCCATACTAGATGTACAATAGGGAATGGACACTACATTGGGCTTGGAGCTACACTATATTGCCAAAAGTATTGGTCGGCCTGCCTTTACACGCACATGAACTTTAATGGCATCCCAGTCTTAGTTCATAGGGCTCAATATTGAGTTGGCCCACCCTTTGCAACTATAACAGCTTCAACTCTTCTGGGAAGGCTGTCCAAGGTTTAGGAGTGTGTCTATGGGAATGTGTGACCATTCTTCCAGAAGTGCATTTGTGAGGTCCAGGGACTGATGTCAGATGAGAAGGCCTGGCTTGTAGTCTCCACTCTAATTCATCCCAAACATGTTCTGTCGGGTTGAGGTCAGGACTCTGTGCAGGCCAGTCAAGTTCCTCCACCTCAAACTCTCTCATCCATGTCTTTATGGACCTTGCTTTGTGCACTGGTGCACAGTCATGTTGGATCAGGAAGGGGCCATCCCCAAACTGTTCCCACAAAGTTGGGAGCATGAAATTGTCCAAAATGTCTTGGTATGCTGATGCCTTAAGAGTTCAATTACTGGAACTAGGGGGCCAAGCCTAACCCCTGAAAAGGAACCCCACACCATAATCCCCCCTACCACAGAACTTTACACTTGGCACAATGCAGTCAGGTAAGTACCATTCTTCTGGCAACCTCCAAACCCAGACATGTCCATCGGATTGCCAGACAGAGAAGCGTGATTCGTCACTCCAGAGAACATGTCTTCACTGCTCCAGTGGCAACGTGCTTTACACCACTGCATCCGACGCTTTGCAATGCCCTTGGTGATGCAAGCCTTGGATGCAGCTGCTCAGCAATGGAAACCCATTCCATGAAGTTCTCTACACACTGTTGTTGTGCTAATCTGAAGGCCACATGAAGTTTGGAGGTCTTTAGCTTTTGACTCTGCAGTTGGCGACTTCTGTGCACTTCAGCATGCACTGACCCCGCTCTGTCATTTTACATGGCCTACCACTTTGTGGCTGAGTTGCTGTTGTTCCCAGTTGCTTCCACTTTGTTATAATACCACTAACAGTTGACCGTGGAATATTTAGTAGTAAGGAAATTTCATGAATGGACTTATTGCACAGGTGACAACCTATCACAGTACCACGCTTGGAGTCACTGAGCTCCTGAGAGTGACCCATTCTTTCACAGATGTTTGTAGAAACAGTCTGCATGCCTAGGTGCTTGATTTTATACACCTATGTCCATGGAGGTGATTGGAACACCTGAATCACATGATTTGGAGGGGTGTCCCAATACTTTTGGCAATATAGTGTGTCTTAGCACTGTACAATTTAGGGTCCATGTACACTAGGCAGCTGAAAAAATACTACAACCACTGGCAGAAAACTCTCATAGTGGCACAAAGGTTTGGGAGCATTTAGGGCCGTTTGCTTTCATAAGCTGTTTTTTTCAAAAACATTGCTGTCTTCTCACTTTTCACTATAACCACTCACCCGATTGCACATTGTAGTTTTACTGCTACAGTGCAGGCTGGTTGCACAAAATCACTTAGATATACGTGACTTTGCACTTCCAGGTAGGGGGCCGACCTGCTGTCACTGGCTACAGCACATGCCAATGACCAGGTTCCAGCCAGTGATTTATGCCTGGGATCCATCAATTGGTGGAGCGAGTGATAGGAGAGAGCTCTGTGTTCATAAATAACAGCGCTCTCTACTGATAGCAGTGATGTTCCAGGTTTTGTCTACCTGCAAAGAAGTGAATAAAAACCAGCACAGCCCTTAGTAAAAACACCCCATAGTCAACACATTAACACTTGTTAGGCACATAGTTAACCCCTTGATCCCCCTAGATGTTAACCTCTTCACAGCCAGTGTCATTGATACAATGACTATATTTTTAGCACTTATCACTGTATTAATGTCACTGGGGATGTTAGTGTCAGTCCCCACAAAGCGTCAGTTAGTGTCAGATTGTGCACTACCACAGGTCGAGGTGCAGTACCACAGTCCCACCATGAGTTGCTGATCACCGCCATTACTAGTATATTTATATATATATATATTATATATATATATATATATATAAAATACAATTTCCAATATATTTACCATAGTTTGTAGATGCTATAACTTTCACACAAGCCAATCAATATACACTTATTAGCATTTTTTTAACCAAAGACATAGTAGAATACATTTTGGCCTAAATTTATGAAGAAGTTTGATATTTAAGTTTTAATTTTTTTATTGAATACAAATTTTATAGCAGAAAGTAAAACTTTTTTTCTTTAATTTACAGTATTTTTTTGTTTGAGATATATATATATATATATATATATATACATATCAGTAGTGATCAAATACCACCAAATGAAAGCTCTATTTGTATGAAAAAAATGACATAAAATTCATTTGTGTACAGTATTGCATGACCGAGCAATTGTCAGTTAAAGTAGCACAGTGCTGTATAGCAAAAAATGGCCTGGTCAGGAAGGGGGTAAAGCCTTCCGGAGCTCAAGTGGATAAGCAACGTACACTTGAAAACACCAAATGCTCCTAAACACAGCATATATCTATGTCAATCAGTTTTTCTGCTTGAAATCTCCTCTCAAAAACACACTTGTGATGTTTTTTTTTCTCAGCCTGGAAACGCTCCTCTGCAAATATGCCTGTAAACTCCCTAATTTACATGACAAATAGGCTAACATAGGAGGTGGTATGAAAAAGTTTCAAGACTAGCTCTGTAACACACCAACAGATAGCAGCACAAGGCTGCATGCACAGTCACAAGGAGCACCGAGCTTTATAAGTCAGTATGTCAAAAGACATTGTTCTGTGCACATCAGGTACTGTGCAACTGGTGCTATTCTGACCACGTGAGTTACCATGTCTGCTATTTCATCATGGACAGCAAGTTAGAACAAAGAGCAAATGTGAAATTCTGCATGAAAGTGGGCAAATCTGCCACAGAGACATTTGATAATAAGATATTCAAATTGTTTTGAAAGCCATGCATGTTTTAAGAGCAGAAGAACATCACTGGAAGACAAGAGATCAGGAAGACCTTCAATGAGCTCTACCCCCGAAAATGTCAAAACCATTCAGTAACTTGTGTATGATGATCACCTGAGACCAATCCACAACATTGCTGTCATTGTCGGTGTGTCATACAGAACAGTCCATTTGATTTGAACATATGCTGTGTTGCTGCCAATTTGCCTAGACTGCTGACCCAGTAGCAGAAGGAACACCGCCTGAAGTCTGCAAAGAACTCCATTAGCATGCCGTGGATGACCCATCCTTCCTGTCAAGGATCATTACTGCTGACGAAACTTGGGTGTACGGGTTTCATGCAGAATTTCACGTTTGCTCTTTGTTCTAACTTGCTGTCCATGATGAAATAGCAGATGTGGTAATGCACATGGTCAGAATAGCACCAGTTGCACAGCTCCCGATGTACACAGGACGATGTCTTTTGGCATACTAGCTTATGAAGGTAGATGCTCCCAGTGACTCTGCAGGCAGCTCCGTGCTGCCATCTGTTGACGTGTTACAAAACTAGTCTCAAAACTGTTTGATACCACTTCGTAGAGTTGCTTCTACAGGATAAAGAAAACAAAAATGCAACAAGCCTGTATAAGCAGCATTTTTTTATGTCCAGTGTGCATGAGGTCTCACTCCCAAAATAACAGATGTAAATATCACTTAGATAATTTGTGGATTGAACTGTTGTATCTTATAAAGCATCATTTTTTATTACCACCTCAAAAGGTCTTCAGCCATATGACTGTAATTTGTAAATTTAATTGAAAACAGATGAAGACTAAAGCATTATTAAATCAAAAACGCAATATATTGGAGATTACAATTATTAGATGTGATGGCTGCATTAGTTTTCTTTTTTTAGGCTTTTCCCCCCCTGTTTTCACCTGGTTATCTGGTCAGTAACACACTTCCTGTATTAAGAGTGCTTCCACTTTGGATGAAGAAGCATAGGGGCACAATAGACAGCAGCATTGTCAGTTTGGGGGGAGGGGAGCATTAGATTTACTAGCAGATTTAGGTACACTATCAAATTGAAGCCAAACTCCAACTAATACTTTTTCAGCAGTTACAGCAAGCATTTTTTTCCCTTTTGAGATAAAGGTTTTACATAAATAAAAGCTGAGCATGGTAAGCACCCCTATCTGCTGTAATCTTTTTTCTTTACCTCTAACTGCTACATCTGCAGGATAGCTTGTTCTGTTGAAAAACAACATACCTACTGGCCAGATCAGCAAATGAAAACAAAAGATGGAAAGACTAAAAAAAAAGAATGCAGCCATCACATCTTAGAATTGGTAAGCTGCAATAAAACTGCTTTTAGGTTTAATACTGCTTTAACCGTTTCAATACCGTGCAATTTTACACCTTCCTGCCCAGGCCATTTTTCAGGTTTCAGCGCTCTCACACTTTGAATGACAATTGCGCGGTCATACAACATTGTACCCAAACTAAAATTTTAGCATTTTCTTCACACAACTAGAGCTTTCTTTTGGTGGTATTTAATCACCGCCGGGGTTTTTATTTTTTGCTAAATTAACAAAAAAAGACCAAAAATTTTGAAAAAAAAACACATTTTTCTTTGTTTCTGTTATAAAAGCTTACAAATAAATAATTGTTCTTCATACATTTAGGCCGAGATGTATTCTGCTACATGTCTTTGGTGAAAATAACCCAAATTAGGATGTATTTTTTAGTTTGTAGGAAAGTTATAGAGTTCACAAACTATGGTATAGATCTGAATATTGATCAATCCTGAAGTACTGACAGCCAATCTAATATCTTGAGGTCCAAGAATGTCAGAATAGTACAGATATCCCCCAAATGACCCCTTTTTGCAGAGTAGACAGTCCGACGTACTTCATAAGAGGCATGGCGAGTTTTTTGAAGTTGTATTTTTTTGTCATAATTTTTCGGAAAATGAAAAAATTAAAAAAATTATTTTCACTATTTTTTTTTTTTACATACTGTCACCAGTGCAGTACAGCGTCATCATATAACTGGCATGGCGGTGATCAGGGGCACTGAGTGGTGACAGTATGAAAAAAAAAAAAATATATATTTTTTTTTTTTTATTTTTTTTATTATATTTAATTTTTTATTACATTTTTTTTTTTTATTTTTTTTAAGATTTTTTTTCATATTTTACTATGACCAAAATAGTACAATGTTACCATAGTAACACTGTACTACTTTGGGGAAGTGATCAGTATTTTTTTTTTTTTTTTTTTTTTTTTACACAATTTGCTTATAGCAAAGAATTACTTTGCTATAAGCAAGCATTTACCTGAATGAAATCGATTCATTCAGCTTTTTTTTTTTTTTTTTTTTTTTTTTTTTTTGTGCTTAGCTGTGATTTGGTCACAGCTAATCACATGCCATGTGCATGTGGTTAGCTGTGACCATTCACAGCTAGGCACTAGTATACAATGGATGGCATCATGAATGAAGCCATCCATTGTATACAACTGTCATGTGCCCTGCTGTGATTGGTCACAGCAGGTCACATGGTACCGGCAACGGGAGCCGGTACTCGGATCTGTCATCGGCCGTGTCCGAGGTGCACGGGCGGTGACAGATCGCACTGCTGCGTCGCTCTGCAACCGCGCAAACCGCGCATGTGCGGGAGCACGCCAAATGGCGTGCACCCGGAAAGCTGCAGCGCTTTTCTAGCCGCCAAACGGCCATTGGCCGGGCGGCTAACGGTTAAAGTGTTACTAAACCCACAACTGTAAAATCAGTCTGTATATGCAGGAAAGCATGTTGATTATACTCACTGCAGAACCTAAGAGGTTAATCTTCTGTACTGTGTAAAAAGGCTGTTTGATCCTGTCTTCTCTGATCCTCCCCTTCTTCTACTGTCCCCAATCCATCAGCTGATTGCACAGAGCCTTGGGGCAAGCTGCACATGCTCAGTTTGGTGTGTATTGCTAGAGGTTTTTTTTTCTAGGGAGAGTGCATGTGATCAGCACATTGCCAATCAGCGCTGTGCAGAGGGTCAGGAGTCCTGTAGCCTCATAGGACAATCAGGGGAAAATGAAAACGTCTACAAGCTTAAACAAGTGCTTTGCTGGATAGAAGTCACAAAACTGTTCTGTTGCTGAGAAAAGATATTTAGCAGTTTATATTTACTAAAATAATTGCATTTCCATGCAGTGTGTACTGTGGAAGACGAGATATAGTGAATGCAGGGTCCTGGGTTTAGTAACACTTTAACCACCTCCCGTCCGGCCATTGTATATAAACGGCCAGAGGGTGGCAGTGCAGGGTCGGGTGGCCATTTAT